AAAAGTTACAACATAACCTAAAACTGCATTAAAAAGTTAACACAGTATAAATGTAGGGAGGGTTATAGATTTAAAGTTTTGATTTTCGATTTTTGTATTTTAATAATGTTCTGTATTTTATGCTTTCAGAATTAATATGTGGTCATTAACTATTTTTGTAAGTGGAAATTAATAACATACATATCTTCCAGCCCTACTAAAACATTGCTATGTTTTTGTCCCTTCAGTTCCCTCCAGCTTACACAGGCATATCTGAGGTCAATCAGCCTGCTGAATTGATGCCCCAGTTTTCTACAATTGAGTACATGATACCGGTAACTTGTTTATCTTGTATTTAACGAGCAGTGTTAGGTACCGAGTTTCTCTTGCAATACATGTCTTCCATGTCCCCTGCCTGTCTGGGGCGGTTTAGCAGGATCTTGAACATTTGGTTATGGGGCATGTGCGCATGCTGGCTCTGCATTCAGGTTGTGGTAGAAGACTAAAGGAAAGGGAGCCTGATTCTGTTCAAAACCTGTCCTCTACAGCCTTCTCCATCTCAGTTGATGGTACTCTCCATCTTCTGGTTGTTCAGTTTAAAAGCCTTAAAGTTGCCCTGACATCTTTCTTTTTCCTACACCCCAAATCTAATCCATTAAGAAATCCCATCAGGTCTATAGTCAGGATTTATCCAGATTCCAACCACTTATTTTTCCCCACTGCTCCTATCCTAGGCCAGCTGCTGCCTCTCATATGAATTACTGGGCAGTCTCTTCAGTCTTCTTCCCAATTTTACCCTTTGCCACTTACATTTTATTCTTAACCCAGCAGCCAGAATAACTCTTTAAAAACATACCTTGTTACTTCTCTGTTCAGAAACCTCCAGTGATGAAAACACCTCCCTTTTCACTCAGAGTAATAGAGAGTCTTCAGAGCTATGTGTGAGCCAGCCTTGTGTCACCACGCTGACCTCAACTTCTGCTAATGGTCTTGTGTAGCCAGGTGGCCCCCTTGACTTTCCTCAAGCATATCAGGAATGCTCCTGCCTGTGGGCCTTTGCTCCAGCTTTGTCTCAGGCTGGGACTCTCCTCTATGTCTATATCACTCTTCCCCTCTCCTCTGCATGTTTGCTCAAATGTTACTTTCTTCATGAGGCTGCCCTGACCTTCTGGAAGCTGCCCCCCACCTCCGCTCCTGGCCTCTGCAATCCCTTATCTCCTCCATTCCAGAGGGGGCTTCTGGAGGCAGGCAGGGACTTTGTTCTTTTGGTTCAGTGATGTATCCCAGGGCCTGGAACAATGTCTGGCATGTAAGAGAAGGCATTCAAAAATGCAGAATAAATTGTTGGATTATAAATAGTTTCTATGTGTAGTTTGTTTTAATAGAACTTGTCACTGGCTGAGCTAAGGAGAGGTTTGTTGAGATGTCCTTAGCCTGTGACAGTAAATATAGGTGAAGATGTGTTATTTACATACCTGTTTTTCTTTGCATAAAGCGAGGAGCTCAGTCCCCTCTGATCTTCCTCTATGTGGTCGACACGTGCCTGGAAGAAGATGACCTTCAAGCACTCAAAGAATCTCTACAAATGTCCCTGAGTCTCCTTCCTCCAGATGCTCTAGTGGGTTTGATCACATTTGGGAGGATGGTGCAGGTTCATGAACTCAGCTGCGAAGGGATCTCCAAAAGTTACGTCTTCCGAGGGACCAAGGATTTAACTGCAAAGCAAATACAGGTTTGTGCCTTGCTCATATACCAGCAGGAACAAGGATATTTCTTTAAATTTAATTAACCATTCACTTTCAGTGCTATGAGAAGTAAGTCTTTGGTTTTTTTAGGATATGCTGGGCCTGACCAAGCCTGCTGTGCCTGTGCAGAAAGCACGACCTGCTCAGCTACTGGAGCACCCTTTTGTTTCAGGCAGGTGAGCCGCTGATGTGCAGTAGTGGGCATGCGGGGCAGTCCACTGGAGCAAGGGAAGAAACATGTTAGAACTTTTATTTTCTGAGAAAAATAATTGAGCCTGACCAATATTTAATAATGTACATAAAGTACCAGTATATATTTAAAATAACTGAATTATATAATACACACACACACATATGTGCTTAGAATGTTTTCCCTGTTAACGTGAATCATCATGAAGATTCTGAGCACTGTATTCATTCCTTCTCCTCCACTTACATGTGGCTGTTGTCCTTGTGGACTCTTAAGTGAAACTGGGAAAACTGAAAAGGCGTCTGTTGGATGTCCTCAAAGCAGAAACCAGACACTTACTTCATCAGCTGTTGAGTGCCTGGGGCAGTGCAGGCCCTGGTGGCCGTAGGCAAATGGGATAAAACACATGGCCTGACACCTGGGCATAGCCACTACTCTGGTGGAAAACCAGTGCTTCTCTGTGTGTTACTCCTAAGGCTAAGGAGAAACACAGACTGTGAATCTTAAGAATAATGAAGACTGTCCACGTCCGTGAACCTTCCATGGACTGAATTCACATTAAACGTATCTTTAGGATTTCTTTGCTGCTTAAAATATAAGTAAATGATTTGCTCCTATTTAAATTGATTTTTTTCTTTGCTATATTTATATTGCTGTATATTAGGCTATAAATTCCTGGATAAAATTGCTTTAAGATGTTTCATGTTTGAAACTTTGAAGAAAAAAATTTCAAATTTTTTCTACTCTGTTTTGAAGAGCAGTAACTATGTGTGGCCTAGGGTTAAAGACCAGAGTACTCTATTAAACCAGGATTGATGTGTCCATTCGAAATAATGCAGATTTCTGCAGCCCGTTCACAAGATTGACATGAACCTCACTGACCTTCTTGGGGAGCTGCAGAGGGACCCATGGCCTGTGACTCAGGGGAAGAGACCTCTGCGATCCACTGGTGTAGCTTTGTCCATTGCTGTTGGCTTGTTGGAGGTAATTCAGAATTCCCAGGACCTCTCCCACCCTGCCACCTTGCTCTTGGAAGTTTTGTTTGTTGCCCTTGTTGAAAATCAGTTGTGGCTTAAGTCAACTGACTGTTATTTTATCAGAAAGTGCTTCATTGTTATTACCTGCATTGAAGGAGACCTTCAGTGTTTTAAACACACCAAAAGTTTTCATGAGAAACACCAGGCCATTGGAGCAACAGAAGTGTTCACAGCAACTTAATTAAAGTGTACAACACACCACGTTGCAAGAGGGAATGCTACTTGTCTGCATTATCATCTGCATTACTTTGCAGTATCATCAGTATCAAAAGAGCTGAAGAGAAACCCTGTCTGGGGTGTTTAGGGACATGGAAACATACTTGGGTGGGCTGTATGTTTCTAAAATGCTGCTATTTACTGTTTTAGGGCACTTTTCCAAACACAGGAGCCAGGATTATGTTGTTTACTGGGGGTCCCCCAACCCAAGGGCCTGGCTTGGTGGTCGGAGATGAATTAAAGGTTCCTATTCGTTCCTGGCATGATATTGACAAAGATAATGCATGTTTCATGAAAAAGGCGACCAAGGTAGGTGCTCCTGGACATGGGTAATGTGGTGACCAGTGCTGGGGTTTAGGCTGTTCTGGAGCGACAGCTCATGGTGGGGCTGGGCTTCATGGTCAGCAAGTTGCTTTTGTTAAATTACTGCCTGAGCTCTCAGACCCTAGTTAGAGTGTGGGGCGTTAAGAAAAATGTTCTGAGGTTGAAAACTACTGTTTTATTTGAATGTTATAAAGAAAACTATTTCCACTTTCCTGTATTTAATTTCAATCCTTTGGTCTAGTAAGACATACCCAGTGAGTAATGTTGCTGTTTCATAAAGATAATTTTTCTCTCTTCACAGCACTACGAGATGCTTGCTAATCGAGCTGCTACAAATGGCCACTGTGTTGATATTTACGCTTGTGCCCTTGATCAGACTGGACTTCTAGAGATGAAATGTTGCACAAATCTTACTGGGTATGTTAACAGCAGACACCTGAGAAAAGTGAGAGTGTTTATTGTAAGGAAAGAGAAATGAGTGATAGAACTACAGGAGTAGGCAGGGCTCACTCTGGGAAGCTCTCAGGTAGCTCCAGGCTCTGGGGGTGCCTCCTGGGGCAAGAAGCATGATTAGTGGGAGGTTCCAAGGGTTCACTGTAAGTCAGTCATATCAGAGTAACTGCAGTTCTTCCTTAGAGTTCTTACAGATACCAGGGCAGGAAAGCAAGCAAGCATGGAGTATGTGGCAAGGCATTTCCTCGTGAGAAGGGGGCAAATGGGGTCTGAGTGCCAGAGCAGTTAGGAGACCCTTCCCCTGACTTAGGACTACATGTCATGACTAACACGGCACAGCCTGGAGGGCATGCTGGAGCTTAACTAAGTCCATACCATGTACACAGGTCACTGTAGAGCCGGTGTTCTCAAAGCTTGATGGTGCTTAGCCAGCAACCTTCAGGGCTCCTGGAGCCTGATTAAAAATGTACAGCCTTGGGTCCCACCCCATAATTGCATCAGCAATGTGGAGGATGCAGCCTGGCAGTTGGTTTTAACAGTTTCTTCAAGGGATTCTGGTGTGCTTGAAAGTGTGAGGACCACTGATGTGCAGCACTGGTCTGAAGCCAGCTGCACATCAGAGGAACTTGAGAACTACCCTTGACTGGGTCTTGTCCCCTAGAGATTCTGATGTAATGGCCTGGATGTCTGCATTTTTTGAAGTTCCCCAAGTGTTTATAACATGGAGCAGAGTTTGAGAGCCACTGGTGTGGACCCTTCGTGTTCACAGTGTGGCTGAGCACAAGCAGCATCAGCCTCACATGAGAGCTTGTTAGAGACACAGCATCTCAACCTAGACCTGTTGAGTCAAAACCTGCATTTGAATAATATCTCAGGGGATTTGTATGCACAGGACAGTTTAAGAAGCACCAGCATAGAGCTGTGGGGTAGGCCTGAGATTCTGCATTTTATAAGCTCCCAGATAATGCTGCTTGGCCCTCCTGAGTAAAGAGGGGAAGGTAGATGATAAAACCTAAGTCACCTGAAGCTGCTATGCAGAGCAGCAGGTGTGATAGGTAGTGGAGTCCCCAGTGAGCTATATTTAATGAGATGAACTACAGTACCCTTCAGGAGCTCTTGTCTCAGGACATCCACAGAAAAGCTTTAGTGTATTTGTGAATGTCCTGAGTTTATATACCAGAGTTTGTGTGTGTATTTCTCCTGGGGCAGGGGACCACCACTTCCATCACATTCTCAGGGAGGCCTTTGACTTTCGAATGACTTAGTATTTAGGTCATATCACTTGTACAGATATAGTTTCAGGGGAATAACATTAGCAGTGACATAAAAATAAAAGGTTTAAGAGTTTTCGTTGATAGCTCAAGATGAGCCAGCTATTTGGGATGACTTTCAGCAAAGGTAAGGTGAGCCTAGGCTGTGTTACAGGAGTCGATTACCTTCAAAGGAGATCATAGTCTTGGTTTCTTTGTTGCTTGTCCCACCCAGGTTATGTTGTCTTCCATTCTGGCATTTCAGTTTAACAGGATGAATAGGTGAACTGGGATGTTCAAGGGGGAGCAGTCAGAGTGGTGGTGAGCACTTGAAACTATGTCATGTGGAAAACGAAGGACCTGGAAAAGATTACACTGAAGACAGATGGGGTGTCAGCAACTGAAGGTCTGTTCTAGGGAGAAGAAATCAGACTTGCTCTGTATGTGACCAAGGTCAGAACTAGAGCCAGCAGTGGAAGCTGCTGGGAAGCAGATTTTCACTGAGTATAAAAGCAGATCTTTTCTATCCATCAGTGCTGTCCAAGTATGCCGTGGACTGCCTCTGCAGGGCATAAGCGCCTGAGGCTGGAGTTCAAGTCCAGTCTGGATGGTGAACTGGCATGTGTGCAGGATTGGAGCTGTGTAACTAAGGCTCAGAGAAGTTAAGGAAAATGTAAGAAAAACCCAAAATAGGTCTCTTTCTCACTGGAGGTAGGCAGCCAGGGTCAGTATATTGACTCAGTCATCATCAGCATATTGATTTCATCATCATCTGGCCTGAGGCTGTACCACCTTACTGTGTTGTGGTTCAAGGTGGTTGCTGGGCTTTGAGCCATGTTACAGCAGCAGGAAGGAGGAGATGTCCCTTCCCATAAGAAACCCCCTAGAAATCACAAAGGTCATTTCCAACAGGCAAAGCTGAGTCACACTGCCATGTGCAGGGCAGGCTGGGAAATAGTCTTTATTCCAGGAAACCATGGATTTCATGACCAAGGAAAGTGGGGAGGGTAGATATTTGGGGCCAAATAGCCATCCCTGTAGCTAGAGGGGTCAGGCACTCTGAGACAGGTGGTCCGATGATCATTTTGTGTTTTTCCCAGTTTCAACATTGTGTTTGATGATCAATGACTGGATGCATAACTTTCATTAAGCTGTGCTTATCTGCCCAAATATGTAAAATGCTAAAATTTTGAACAGTATTTTCCTTTAACTTCAAAAAGGGATGAACATAGATATTCATAACCAGAAAGAACAATTCATGTAAAGCCAGGGAGTCAATGTTTTGAGGCAGTGAATTAACCTGGAAAGCACTTCCCATAGTCTTGGGTATTTTCCCACACCAAAGAAGTATGAGAGGAGTTGGAGGTGTTTTTTTCAATAGATGGCTCATTAAACCTGTGGATTTATTGATGAAGGGTTCTTTTTTTTTTCTTTTTTCAATAAATACAGATTCACAATAAATTGCAGAAGTAGTACAAAGAGGCCATCCCTGCTCTTCATCTAGCAACTCCCAGTAGTAGCATCTAACATAAACATAGTACAATATCAAAACCAGGAAACTAACACTGGTACAATATAATTAACTATATTAGAGACTTTTCTTGGAATTCACCAGTTTTTACGTATGTGTGTATATATGGTCCTATGAGGTTTTTATCATTTCTGTAGATTTATATAACCCCCACAGTAATCAAGATATAAAACTAGTCTAAAGAGTTCTGTTTAATGTTTTGAAGATGTCCTTCTTAAGTACAAATTGAAGAGCTATTTTCCATTTAAGTTAGTCAATAGTAACTTTATGGACATGGTTTCTTTTTTTCTTTGAATTTAAATTATTGTTTGTAAATACCAAGGAAGCATCTGAATGGCTTTCAGTCATCCTAAACATTCACTATCGTTTTTCTTGTTGTTCTTTCCTAGAGGCCATATGGTGATGGGAGATTCTTTCAACACTTCTCTTTTCAAGCAGACATTCCAAAGGATTTTCACTAAAGATTTTAATGGCTATTTCCGAATGGCATTCGGTGGTACTTTGGAAGTAAAGGTATGGTAGATTTCTAAAACTTCAATGGAAGGATACTGCTCTTACTTAGTAGTCAGAATTATGAAAGCCTCAACCTGCTGGACATAGACATCTAAAGATAAAAGGTTCCCAGCAAAGTAGCCCAATAAAGTATATTTATTCTATCTGCTTGCTTCTCAAGGATGACCTGTATATTTATTTATTTATTCTAAATAAAGAATTTTGTAGTTCCCTGTAAGCTCTGCCCTGTTGTAGGAGAGCAATCCTTAGAAGGGGTAAGGGTGCTGAGCACAGAGGCAGCCACAGTGCTGAGTGTCTACCTGGCCATCAGTGTGGGCCACCAAATTCTCAGAACCATGGTATGTATTTAGTGCCTGCCTGCAGACTATCTGGGGTGCTCTAAAATAGTGCAGTAATAAAATTTTGGGTTTTATCCATGTAGGGACTGAAAGCCCCGTGCTCTTAATTTGTAAGCCATTGAGAGAGCATTGAAAGAGGTAGTTAGAAAATATGATTGTAATTATTCATTTGAAATTGCAGATAATCATTAAATCATCTAAGTTAAACCTTAAGCAGCATTCTCAAATGTTTGAAGTCTTTTTTTAAAAACATGAAGAGAAGTGTATCACATTAAGAATCTTAAATATGTTAACCTTAATATATTGGAGTTCATGAATTAAGTAGTTTTAGAGCAACGCAGAACAGCATATTCACTGCTTAGGAATTGTAAATAATTATAATTAAGTACAGGGGATTGGAAAATAATGCAGTATTGTTGGTAGAAATATCTACTGTGTGTACAGGGATATCAATGTTAAAGTTGAAAATGCTGCATCATCTTTGGAACAAAGAGAACAGTTTACAAAGAAGGATTTTAAAGTTGTAGTCTATTCACAGTGGCCCTGTGTAAGAGCATTTGTATACCATAATCCATACAGGATCTACTCTCTGGAATGATAACACTGCTGTATATTTCCTCTAAGTTTGCATTGTGTCCTTCGTGAGAGGGTTGTTCTCAGTGATTTTTAACTTTATACTCCATGTAATTCTGTCTTAGACCTCTCGGGAGCTGAAGGTTGCTGGAGCCATTGGTCCTTGTGTTTCTCTGAATGTGAAGGGACCGTGTGTGTCAGAAAATGTAAGGAAAACTCCCCTGTCACCCTCATTGCCTCTGCTCCTGTATTTTAGCCCATTAGAAATATCAGTGAGGTGATTTTGCCTTGTGGCAGCTGTTGGGATGTCTGTGGTGAGGGGAGAAGGGCAGCTCTTACTGATGATCACAGTCTGAGAGGTTTTTGTCTGTCAATTCATTTATCTAAGGGGTTAGAGAGGAGAAAACTGGCTAGAGAGAGGTTAAGTATTTTGCTGAGGGTCAAAGTATGTTGACCTAATTATACTGGAGTTCATGAATTAAGTAGTTTTAGAGCAATGCAAAACAGCATATTCACTGATTAGAAATTGTAAATAATTATGACTGAGCAGTTGGGATTGGAAAATAATGCAAGTGATGGTGGACCTGCACGCAGTCTGGAAGAACTGGAGCCCAGGTACCCCTCACCTGAGTGCCTTGCTTGGGTTGCTTTGCCAGTGAGCTGCAAGGCGTTCTCTTTAGCATAAGGCGGGCATCCAGCAGAATCCTTCAGGAAGAGACCTCTGTGCTTGTTGCCCTTAGAGTGATAGCTTTGTCTCACTTCTGAGACCACTTGGAGTTATTGTTGAATGAGATTATAACAATATGAATCTCATTTGCCAACAGCCTTTCACATAATGGTTTAGCATCCATTGATTTTCCTCACTTAAAGCAATATATTCTGTTGGTTATTATAAAACGGGTGACACTGTGGTCTATCCAGACATCTATGTTTTTTGAGTAACAAATTTCGAGAATGTGTGAACAAAGTTTAGTTTTCAGTGGGTGGTGAGGTGGCTTTGCTGATAGCTTACTTCCTCTAATTATACTTTAGCTGCCAAGAGACAGACCATTTGGTTCAGTGAAGCCTGTCCAGGGTGGTTCTGGGCTGGAGATATCAGTCAGGTCCTTCCCTCACTGTCATTGTCAGCAGAAGGGTAGACTGGGGAGCCAACGTGGATTCAGGGTGTTGGTCCACTGCTGCTAGCTGTACGGCCCAGGCTTGGTACTCCACTGCTCAGGGGTTCTACGTCTGTATCTGGGAAATGGAGTGAGTGAGGGCACCTAAATTTACAGCATTGCTAGGAGGTGCAGGTAAAACACAGAGCAGTACCTGGCACAACAGCCCACACTGGATTTGGGCTTTCACATCATCATTTTTGTCTTAAGCAGCAAGGGCCATTCACTTTGACTGCTTGGATTAACTGCTATTAGAGTTGGCAGAGGCAGGGCAATTCAAGATTATATTCCTGTAACCGCTGCATAAGGCAGGTTGCTGCCCCAAAGCCCATCTGTTGGGTCACTCATTACCCCAGTGAACTAAGGGACGTGTGCCTGTATTTCCTAGCAGGGCTTAAGAAGGATGCCAAAATATTCCAAAATATTTTCCATAAACTTAAAATCTGCCTAAGAAGATACTTTTATGAATTCTTACAAACTGATCTAGGATCTAGTAGGGATGAGCTATGAAATTTTTGGACAGGGGATGGGGGATGCAAGGAGGAGGAAAATATAGTTTTCACCATACAGAAAAGTTTAAGGGAGTATAATGAAGTCCTGGATACCCACTATTTAGAGTCAGTGATTGTTGTCATTTTATCATAATGGCTCTGTCATCTGAGGATCATCTGTTTGCCATACTTGCCTTAGCATAATTTTACAGAACTTTCGAAAACCAGCTGCAGATGTTATGATGCTTAGTCTGTCAGTATTTTGGTATGCGTCTTCTAAAAATAAGAATGTTCTACTACCACAACATTACCAAACCTAAGAAAACAGCAATTTCCTAATATCATCTAATATCTACTTACATTCTTTCCCTGATTTCTCCCCAGGTGCTCTTGTAGCTGTTCTTTTCTCCTCTAACTGGCATTGCATTTGCTCTTGTATATCCATTGTCTTTTTCAGTCTAGAATGGTCTTCCTGTCATTTTGTTTGCTTCTTTATATATTTTGTGTGATAACACTGATTTGTTGAAACACAGTGCCAAGTGCCAGGTGTCTCCTGTAATAGACTCTCATGTTCTCAGTGTGTCCAGTTGTTCCCTTGCTGTGGTGTTTAACTTCTGTCCTCCCTGTATTTTCTGTAAAGTGGAAGTCAGATCAGTGATTAGATTAAAGTTAAACCTTTTTGTCTGCCACACTTCCTGCTGATCTGTGTGCCTTATGCTGTGTTTTGTCTAGAGGCACTTCTCTCTGTTGCTGTGTTAGGGAGCTGAGTTAGACTGTGTATTAATGTGATGGATGTGATGGCCCTTCTCATTGTAAGGGCATATTTCCTTTTTGCTGTTAGCAAGAAATCTGTTGAATGAGATTATAACAATATGAATATCTCATTTGCCAACAGCCTTTCACATAATGGTTTAGCATCCATTGATTTTCCTCACTTAAAGCAATATATTCTGTTGGTTATTATAAAATGGTGATTTCCAAGTTCTGTCTTTACATTTCCTCTGATAGAGGTAAATTCTTATGTAAGGACTTTGCGTGTCAGTGAGATAATGCACTTTTGGGGCTTGGGAGGGTTTGTGGCCTTTCTTGGGCATTGGTGCTATATATGACTTTACTCTACCGATCATAGATTCATTGGCTGGGGTGTTGCAAATTAAACTGACAGAGACAGGTTAATGAGAAAAACAGAAGTTCATTAACACGTGCATTGTGTACATATACATTGTACTTACATACTTAAGTGGTAAGTAACTCAAAGGGATGGTTAGAATTAGGGATTATGTGAGATCTTAACAAGAGAACAAAAAATTTGTAGAGAAGTGACAAGACAAAGGAAAGAGACTTTGAGCTCCTAGGGGTGGCAAATTATGGAAGAGTAGATAAATGGGGAAATGAGTGGAAGATAAGGGTTGTTTCAGCAAGGTTGGTTCTGTAGATCTTTTGAAGCCATCTCTGGGCTGTTAAGCATCCAGAGTTGTCTTTGGTGATTATGAGTCTTCCTACCCTTCTTTTTTTTTTTGAGGAACATTATGTTTACTAGACTCCCCCCTTCACTAAGTTCCCCCACATACCACATTAGTCACTGTCCATCAGCATAGTAAGATGATGTAAAATCACTACTTGTCTTCTCTGTGTTGCACAGCCCTCCCCATGCGCCCCCACACATTATACATGCTAATCATAAAGCCCCCTTTCTTCTTCCCCACCCTTATCCCTCCCTTCCCACCCATCCTCCCCAGTCCCTTTCCCTTTGGTAACTGTTAGTCCATTCTTGGGTTCTGTGATTCTGCTGCTGTTTCATTCCTTCAGTTTTTCCTTTGTTCTTATATTCCACATATGAGTGAAATGAGACAAATTTGGTACTTGTCTTTCTCCGCCTGGCTTATTTCACTGAGCGTGATACCCTCTAGCTCCATCCATGTTGTTGCAAATGGTAGGATTTGTTTTCTTCTTATGGCTGAATAATACCTCATTGTGTATATGTACCGCATCTTCTTTATCTATTCATCTACTGATGGACACTTAGGTTGCTTCCATTTCTTGGCTATTGTAAATAGTGCTGCAATAAACAGGGGTGCATCTGTCATTTTCAAATTTGGCTGCTACATTCTTAGGGTAAATTCCTAGAAGTGGGATTCCTGGGTCAAATGGTATTTCTATTTTGAGTCTTCCTACCCTTCTTGGTGGGAGGAAGACAGAGTTCTCTTGTGTCTGCTTTTTTTAAGTAGCCTTTACCTTAAAAATAAATCCTTCATAATTAGTACAAGTAACACCAGAGTGGTGTATTTTTGATTGGCATACTCTGAACCCCTTGATTTGAAACTTTAAGCAGTTTCACATATTAAAACTTGAGTTGGTAGGTACGGACAGAGATTCATGAGTTGGGATTAGCAAGGCAAGAAAGGGAGGCATGCAAGCTCCTTGTCCTTTGCCGTTTTCCCTGGGTGTAGCCCTTCACCTTCCAGCAGATGTTAACTTGCTTTTAGGAAAGGCCACTGAAGTAACTCTGTAGCATTTTTACTATGCTGATGCACAGTGACTGCAATGGGGCATGGGGGGACTTGATAATATGGGTAAATATAGTAATCACTGTGTTGCTCATGTGAAACCTTCGTAAGATTGTATATCAATGATATCTTAATAAATAAATAAATACACAAATACATACAAATAAAAAAAGGCCACTGAAAGAGAAGGTGAACACCCACACATCCATCCTTCTCACAGTCTTGCTTAGGGAATACTTAGCAAACAGTGTGTCCTCCCCACTCTCCACCTTAGAGCTGCTATGTGATTTCACCAGAGAATCTTCCTTCTCCCTTCTGACCATCACCTTCTGAAATTAATGGCATGGCTTCATAGAGAGATCAGACTGGCATCAGCTGTACTCCACTAACAGTGTAGGTGGTGGGTTCAGAGTAAGAAAGAAGAAATACCATGACTCTTATTCATCATCACATTACTTTCTAGGTACAGTCTTTCCAGTTTTGATAAGGTGTGCTAAAATGTGTAATACTCACTGTCTCTAGAATAATTGAAGTGATGTTTCAGAGACTAGTGATCTTAGTTGGTAATTCTAGGTATTTTTGACACCTGCAGCTGTTTCTTCTAAATGTCATGGTTAAAACAGTGATACTTTCCACATTTTAGTGAATCTCATTTATAACTGGGAGCCCTTCAACTAGTCAATAAAAAGCAACCTTCATGATGCCCCTAAAATCTCAATACTCTTACCAAGAATTTATGTGTAGCTTTTGCACAAAGGAATTGGATTAAATTTAATATTTAATAACTAACATTCCATAACTGTTTCTTGTACTAATAGTGATGAAAGAAGTACATAAAACTTTGAAACTTAGCAGATCATTCTTTAACTTTTCTACTTCTTTCCCAACCCTGACTTGATTTTTTCAGTTGATTTAAGTGTTATGTACTGTGTGTGTGTGCACGTGCATGTTTAGAAAGAGATACCTCAGTAATGTAATGGAAATTGATCAGAGTGCCAATACAAAAAGCTTAATGTTAAGGTACTATAATAAATGACACACTTTATTTTGCCCTGTAAATGTACTTTTTTCAGTTAAATTTAAATTCGTATTTAGAATGAGATAGTGTAAGTGGCCTTCCCTTCTCAGAGTCAGTACTTTTCATCAGCAGTTAACCACAGGAGTAGCTTTTTTGTTTTGTTTTGTTTTTTTAATGCCTCTCCTCACCTCTAGGAGCTTGGTGTTGGTGGCACGAATCAGTGGAAAATCTGTGGCCTGGATCCCACTTCTACGCTTAGCATCTACTTTGAAGTAGTCAATCAGGTGAATTTGGTTTCTTCATGAATATTCATGTCTCAATGTCGTGTTTTCTGATTTATTACAGACTGAAGGCCTCTGGTTTCTTTTTCCACAAACTGATGCTATTTTGGGCTTGGGTTTGGCTGATACCAGTCTAGTGTGATCTTTTTTATCCCTTCCAGGGTTTGGTCGTAGTCAGACAGCAGATTGCTCTTGTCACTTTTTTATTGAACTGTTAAAGTCATCAGAAGAGGAATGGCTTTTGGCAGCCATCCATGCTGGTGAATTTTTTTTTTTTTTTGAGAGG